TATTAATTATTACTCAAATTATTATTTCAGTCATTCTTAATGGATCAAGCGTCTATATGCAAAGAATAGCCAAAAACTGGTTTTTATCGTTAAATGAAGATATAGCCTAAAGATGCTTTGCGAGCTTTACGGCATAACCAGGTTTCATTCGTCCTGGCCCCTGGGCAGTTGCCCCCTTTGCCCTCCCCTGTCGGCGGGCCTGTATGTATATATATATTATTATTTATTCATAAATGCTTAAATTTTAGTTACTTTTGTTGAAATATATAACAATAAATAAAAAATATGCATTAAAAACCCTGATTTTTAGTTCTTAAGATGTTATGAAAACTACAAACACTCAGAACGACAAGGTTACTAACCTTCACACTGAGTCCTTGTTCATTCTATCAAATTAAGACAAACACAAATTCATTTTGTAAATTTTAAATATACATTTTAAAACTAAACAATTTAAAATTCTCTAGAATAGAACATCACAAATCTACTATAACTCACCTAGTTTTTTAAGTTAGAAAAATTAATGTGTGTTTGGAGCAATTTTAGTATAAACATTTTTTAGCAAATTATGGCTTTCTCCATCATAAAATTGACAAACATCCATCAGACTTATGTGGTTCAGAACCTTCTTTTTCTATGTCTGGTTTTTGAATGTAACTGTAACAGTTGTGAAATGTGCATTTTAACCCCACCTGTGCACACGGGGTTAAACACCAACCACATTATATATATATATATATAAATTGAAAAATAAATACAAGTAATTTTTTAATGTACTTTAATAAAAATACATTGTAATACTTCACATACAAAACCATCCTCCTTTGCTCAATTGGCAACTGCTGTTCCCATTCATCAGGTCTTGGTTCCAGTGTAAAACTTTCAATATCTTGGAATACTTTGTTGATTTCTTCTTTAGCATCAACTACTGAAGACACATATAGAAAAACTGAGTATCCAAGAAAACATCAGATCAAGAAAAATAATGTGTGACACATACGAAAACGAAGGTTTCTTATGTGATAATTTTAGATAAAATTTAAATGTTTTCACATTCAACAATAAACTCTCCCTTTGTCAGAGAACTGCAATTTTCACAAATATTTACATGCCCCAGTGAAATGGATCTTGTTATTTGCATTACAACTTTAAAATAAATATACAAGTTCTTAATAAAATGACAAATTATAAAGCTATGTTTCAACTGCTCATGAAAAAAATACTGCTAAATTTAACTTATATAATACACATTTACAAAAAATAAAAAAAAGAGCAGGAAAAGTGAGCAATAATTTTTCTCAGACTTTTAAGTAAATGATACTTACTTTGTTTGTTCCCTCTTTCGACTTGGTTATCAATTTTAAACATTTCATTTTGAAGTCCTGCATCAGTCTATAAGTTAATCAACAAACTTTTAGTACTTTTATTTCATGAATTACCTTTAGAACCAAGTGAAGCAAAAAAGATAAATTGAACAAGAAGCCTACCTATTTATGGTTTATTTCTTATAGTTTTCACAATCAAGAGAATAAAACAAATAAAAAACACATCATTAATAAACACAAAATAGCTTATACTATAACTAATTATATTATAGGTTTTCAATTACCCGTCTCCTTTTGAGATCAGTCACGATCTAACTGTAATGCTAAACAAACTGTGAAAGACTAAATATATTAATCTGAATTGAATAAAAAAAACATTTAAATAACTTTATGGGATTTTCTAATAGTGTCAAAAACCAAATTACATAAATTTTAGTTGAAGACTCAAATTGCACTTTATTCAAACATGGGAGAAATAGCCCTGCCAGAGACCACTGGATTCTGGCCTAACTAACTAAGACTGGCCTTAGGGGCATGTAAAATTATATGTCTATTCTGAATGGATAATAATTCCATGAAAGTTATGCACTTGTGACGAAGTGATACAACTACTAATACTACTGTAATTCAATCTGTTGAAGAGCAAAGCAGGAATAGCGATACTGGACATCATCATGGAATAAAGTTAACTGTAACTCCTAATGTGCTAAAACTGAATTTATATTCATTTCAGCTCCAAATACACTACATCACCTTTTTGATTCAGTGTAATTCAGTTGTGATTCTCAGGCGAATTTGGAGCCAAACTAAATGTAAGTTCAGTATTACAACACATGAATAAAATGATGCTACATCAGTAATGCCAAACTGCTTTATCTTCCTGTGTTTATAAGATACTGCCTACTGTATGAAATGAAGCAGAATTTTGGCTTTTTTTTCAGAAGTGTTTCTGGCTGAATTTCATGTATTTTTGTGTGTGACATCTATCCAAGACACTTATACTGTAATAATTACTGTTTAACTCTATAACTTTGAACTTACTATGTGTATTTCCACAAAATTTGGCAAGCTTTTAGAAAACACAAGTCTGGTGTACAAAAGAAAAACGTTTTAATAAAGCATTTCTACTAAAGATGTTTCTGCAAATTTCCAAAACCTTTCCTGTGTCATTGAGGTAATTTTTGATGCTAAGAATAAAAATATTTCTTTTCACCTTACAATTTTCATATTTTATTGGTATAACCTCTAGAACCTCCAAAATGTTTTTTGGTAGAACTTTGTATCTTATGTCTCATATTCCCTACCCCATCACTAACTGTACAGTTGTCATCAATGTGTGGTGAAATAAAAAAGTAGAAAAATATGAAATAAAATGAATAATACCATTTTTTCCCTCTGCAAAGACTGCAGTATTGATCATAAAGTTTTAAATTACTTATATGAATAGTTACAACTGTTAACCTTTTTTCAAACTTGTTTTCTTTTAATTTTATATTTTTATTGCTGTACTTCATACCAAAGTTCAGTAGTAATCCTTGCATCAAAAGCAATAAATCACAGTGGGAAATCATTAGCTATTTTCCATAAAGCTAATGTAAGCAGCACTTAATCTAGTATCACGTTACATACAGGTGGTCAATCTAGTGTATTATAAATGTATTATTTTACTGAAATGTTTTAGGCTAAGGTGAGAAATTTATCATTTTAGTTACTTTTGTTTTTACATAAGAATAAGGATTTGTATTACTCCCTACATACTAGAGCTAACTTGAACTTGAGTAAAAATATTTAACATTCCCCTCCAAGCTTCATTGAGTATCTCAAATTTGGGTGCTTTCTAAAAAACTGATGTAGCTTTCAAATATACATTTCAGAATCAAAGCCAGCCCTTTGAAAATTGTGGTCTATGCAAACTTTGTATTTGGCATCCCCGCCCCTGTAAAATTGGCAAGAATTGTTAATTCCAATGTCAATTTTGATGCCCCTTGGGGTGGGTGCCCTGTGTGGGGGCACACATCACTCACCCCAAGGGCCAGCCCTGTTTAGAACAAAAAAAAAGTTTTAGATACAAGAATAGAATGTTCAAAACTACTGTAAATAAGGTATAAATAGGTTAAAAACATGTTGTTATTCAGAGCACCAAATCTGATCAACACAAATCCATCAATTATCATTGACTACCAGTTAACAGTAGAAAAACTGAGGCAGAATTGTAAGATTTACGTAGAGGAGAATCTGCTCTTTCTATGAGTTATAAATATGCCCATCAGCCACGTAAATTTGATTAGCAAATAAACTTAAAATTCTGAGAGAAGTACGAGAGGCTTTTCAAGTGGGTTTGACAAATTTCTTGATATCTCAATAAATGAAGAAGGTTCAAATTTTAGATTCTTTCTCATTATCAGGTATAGTTTGTCTTTCTAATTGGTTGGAAGCTACGGCAACCTAATTTCAAAATAAAAAAATATGAATTGATAATTTGGAGCTCAGGTGACAGGTGCATTTCATGATGCAGAAAAAATGAAATTTCAGGTTTTTTATATTTCTTTAAGAACTTAGAAATCAAAACTTAAATCATATATAGTTATAAAAATTTGAATTATAAACTATGTTTACATGCCACGGTTATTGAAACACACTGATAATAAATTTCTTTAATTAAATTTTGAATGTTAACACTGTTAACTCTCTTGCTATGGGCAATTCAGTCAATTCAATCGAGTTTGTAACCCTAAAGTGACCATCAGTTTCAATACTATAAAGTTTAATATGTTTGGCAAGTTTACAGTAAACTTTAAACGTCTTTTGTACACAAAAAATCAGACATTTTAATTAACTATTTCTACTAAAAATTTGTCTGTGAATATATGGAGTCAGAGTGTTGACTGCTCCAAGTACAAAGTGATTTTCATAAGATTAAAAATACTTTTCTTCACTAGAAAATTGCCAAATTTCATTTGCATAACCTCTAAAACCTCCTAAATAAATATCAAACCATTTTCAGTAAAATTTTATATCTTATCTGTTATTTTCTCTACCCTAATTCTATACACATTCTGTCAATTTGACTGACCTTGTAATCACTATAAAAAAAAATGGAATAAATCTAAATTACCCTTTTTTCTTTCTAGAACAGGAAATTACAATTGTTTATCCTAAATAGTTTAAATCTTGTAACACTCTACATCTATTTACACTTAATTTTATTGTTTTATTACCACTTGACCTGTGTCTAACTAAACAAGCTGTAAGTCACTTGGTCAAATACTAGCTCAAGTTACCATATTGAATTACGTGAAACAACAGTTGTTCGCGAGCATACCTCATGAATAACAATAATTAATTTTCATTATCTTACCCAATCTAACTAAATAAGTTTCTAATTTTTACATTTTATTTATTTTTATAATAATAAATAAAGAATATACATGAAGAACTAGAAATATGGTACTTACCTGTGTACTCTTGCTCTTTCGTTTTTTGCTGTCAACGAAAGTTAAGCCTACTGTTTTTTGTATTTTTTTTTATACTAATGGTACTAGTACACTAAATCATTTTGTTCGATTAAATAATGCACCTTAGAACACAGAATAATAACAGGCACAAAGTAAACAATATTCTATAACTATTATAATTTATCTGGCTTTCTAACCTTTAAAAATTGTGCTAAGCTTGTTGATGTGAATATCATAAGAGAAATGTTCAAATTGGAGACAAAATAAATAATAATCTGTTCATAAAACAATGTAATACAATACATCATTTGATAGATTAAAACTATGGCTTTCTATTGGTTATAAATAATAGTATAAAACACCAGAGAGAATTATTGGTAATTTGAAAAAGGAAGAATGTGACAGGTCGGTCTGATTTTCTAGTTAATGGCTCTATAAATAAATACAATTGAAGGCTATAAAAATTATGCTTTGCCTTAGTAATATCTATAATATAATGAGTAATTTATGTTAAATTCCGTACTTGTCAGAGAGGTGATCAAAAAATTAAAGAAGAGAGAAGACCTAAAGAACAAGCTTATGTAATATTAAAATTTGATTTATTAACTACATTTTGATGTCAAGTTTATTCGTATACATTGATAATAAAGTAGTTTAATTAAATTTTGAATGTAACACTAAAAAGTTGTGATATAAGCACTTTCACCTATCCATAGCGAGAGGGTTAAAGGACGTTACTCACATACACTTTGATCCAGTTGTTTGGAAAGAGTTATCTAGACCTTTAAAGATAAGAAACTCATACAAGAGAAGTAATAAGCAGGTCAGGTTATTGCTAATATTACACACATTATGAAGTATATTACGTGAGATTGAAAAGTGTTTTATGTATAAGGATGACAACATGCAAGAGCTGGAAGCAGAAGTGACATAAGATGACACTTCATTGTGACCGAAGCTATGCAAAATGAACCTTGGGAACAAGAGTAATGATATGAAAGGGAAAAGGGTATTTTTCTCATCCATCACTGGTGTGGCATGCTTTCAAAAATGAATATGTATTTACAATTAAAAAGGTAGTAGCTGCTAGGTAACTGCTCCAGCTAAGTAGATGTTGACAGTGCTAGAATTAGTAGTATATGCATCATGACATTTGCAATAGAAAAAGTAAGGATCATCTGGCTGTGGTAGCTAGGTACTTGTACTGCAAGTGTTTAGTCCAGCATTCAATTCAACACTTGGTGTGCATACTTTTTTAGAGATTCTTCCATTAGCATCAAATAATAGTAAATTACAGGTTATTTTGAAAGCTATTTTAAAAAAGATTTTACATTTCTGACAAACAAACTTTGCAAAAGTGTTCATAATATTCTCACCTACAACACTAGAAGCTCTAAGGCTGGCTTGTAACTGTCATTAATTTTGAACTGCTCACCAGATGAAGGATAGACAGTCAGCAGTACTATACACTGCTAAAAGAACTTTGTCTGGCTCTTTGAACTGAAAATTTTGATTGACTGTAAACCTTATATAAAGCACGCAAAGCTACAAATGTGGAACTTATTCAGCAGCATCAGGTCTTAAAACCTTGGAATGTTTGATTTGCAACCTTGAAAATAACTGCTAGCCTATGTGATTCCAAAAGTAATGCAAGTTATGTCTTTTAATGATACCTCACTTGTTTTCACATAATAAAGTCTAATTAACTCTCACAAAGAGTAACATAATTATTATGAATTCCTATGACACACATATTCGGAAATTAAAAAACAAGAAGATATTGTGCTGGAGGTATTGTAAATGTATCATGAATATAACCAGACAACAAAGAAACTAAGATGTATAAAGGCACTTCAAAAACTTCAATTCTTATTTAACCAAATAACAGATTTGCTATCTCTTCTTCTTGTTAACAAATAGAATGCTTTAGAAATATTTATAACACAAAAATGCTACTGAACTAATCACAAAATGATAATTCTGCATTTCAATAACATACTCATGGTCTTTAAGTTTTAATAAACTTGTTCATACAGAATAAAGAATTCTTCAAAATCCTTTTAAAAACATACTTACATAATATGTTACTGCATTAACGAAGAAGCTTGACAATTGACTTAATTGGTCTTCTAGTTCAGCACTAAATAACAAATATATTTAATACATAATATTATAAAAACAATTATACAACATCCTATAATCCTAATTTCATCAATCACGCAAACGTATTACAACAGTAGATGATGCATTGAAAAATTAAAGCAGACATATATGATTTACAAATACTTTGATATTTTTTTAGACAAGTTTCAAAAATTATATTTTAATTCTAAGGAGAGATAAAAAAAAACTTGAGCATTATTTAAAAATCCTTAATATTTATGTATGTTGTTTAGCAAATGTACTACTGCTCTCATTTTCAGTTTGATAAAATTTTGCAGTTTACACTGATTGTACATAGATTCTTTAAAAATGATCTGTGAATGAAATAAACAGAAAAATAATATTTTACTTCTGAATAAATATTCACTGTCACTATCTTCTTTGTCAAAACCACATTATTAAATAGTCTATGAATCAATAGTTATTTTACTATTTGTACAACTCAGCCAAAATTAATTAGATACTCACATATTCTCAAGCATAAAAAGGAATGTTTAACACTTGTCAATAAGTAATATGACTATTATGAAAAGTGAAATATCTTGAATATGCTTCGCAACAAATTCATTTATGTTCTTACACTCATGTAATTTTGATAAATTTTTTTTTACAAAAATTAAAAATGTAATGCATTTACAAATCACAGTATTCATTACTAATAAATGCTTTGCTTCCAATTAAATGTTTCAAATTATTTCTGATAGATTGTCTGGCTGTAACACAATTGTAAATTTAAATATACATATATTTTCACTAAAGGCACTATAATAAAAAGTGTCTTACAGAAATATATTTATACACTCAGAGTAATAAGATGCAAAAGAACACCTGGAAATACTCTGTTCTTTTTTATAGAGAAAACTGTTTATATGTATGAAATTATAAGTTTCACAAATATTATCATAAAACAGTGGAATGAAAAAACCTTAAATGTGTAATGTAATTCAAATAATCAGCTATCCAGATGATAAAACCAATTTTTATTTAATGTTAGTGAGAAACATTTTAGTGATATGAGGGAAAGCAAATATGTAAACAAAATCCTTAAAAAAAACTAACACCCTTTTAGTGAAGCAGATATTATGAATACAAAAGTGTAGATGGATTTAGTTCAATAAACATCATGCTCAATAACCAACAAGAAATATGGAAGTTGTTGATATAGAGGCAGTTTGCAACAGTAGGAGGAAGTTGTCAAATAATAGCATTGTTTGTAACATTGAAAAGCATGACACTCAAGTGTGAAAGAACGGGAAAGGGTCGAAACCACACAGACTTAGAATTGCCTGTCGGGTAAAATGTTATGAATAAAAAATGGTTAAATGGCCGTGCAACCCACAGGAGTGGAGGTCCCACAAAATGCCAAACCTCCATGTAGTGTTGTAAGCCTTCTCATCGAAGAAGACAGACACAAGATGTTCTCTCATGAGGAAGCCTTCCCTGATCGAGGTTTCAAGACGAATCAGTGGCCCACATTGGCTGGACAAGAAGAGGTTGTTTGTTTCAAGGAACCAAACAAGATGAAGCATCAAGGTCTGATTGATCTTACATCTCTCTGGGAGACGGTAGAGAGAACAAACAGCGATGGTACGACCCACGGAGATACGGAGCTGGGAATGTGATGGTCAACCAGCTGTGTCACACCTCTATGAACTCATACAACACATTACCTAGCATTCCAGTATAAAGAAAACTACCGAAAGGTGAGAGTATCTGCAGGTTTGAGGAATGTTTCCTGTAAGGAGAGACACACAGGATGATAGGAATCAATCAAAGCCTTAATGTCATCGAAATTATAACGAAAACCTTGACAGTTCCACTGTATCAGAGTGGCCATTGTTATTTAGGTGGAGGAGAACTTGGCAGTGAACCCTTCTGTTTGTGACCAGAACGTTTCTCTTTAGTAGAAAGAGGTCTATCTATCTCCATGGAACTTGCCCTGGGTCAGTTGAGCAGATCTTTGTCAGTAGAAGGAGATTCCAGTGACTGAGGGAATGAATGAATAATGGTTCTGCATCATGGGGCTGATGGAAAGAGACCAGAGTAGTCACTGAATGCCACGGTGGGGACAGAGACAGGAGTAGAAGTAGACTTTTCAACTCTTGTATCTACAGAAGGCAAAAGACTCTTCACATAGTGTGAGAAAGACTCTGAAGGAGGCATGAAAAGATCTGTCTGCACTCCCACTGTAGCAGTGGATGACAACTTCAGAACCTCTGGATAAGAAATCTTATTGACAGTTTTTAATTAAGCATTGTACCTCTTTTTTCCCACTTACAACAAAAATAAGAGGGATGGGACCCATTACAATTGATGCAGTGAGAGTCTAGTTGATAAACATAGGTGTCATTGTCTTTGCCGCCACAACAAACACACATCAAAGAACCACCACAAGATGCCTTGGAATGTTCGGAATGCTGACACTGGAAACATCTGAGAGGGATAGGAATATATGGCCATACCTTACAGCTAAGATAACGTGCCTTGACAGAGGCAGGTGGACGTGGTGATGTTACTGTCAAAATTTGTAGGCAGCATAATTCCTTCTTTATGAGTGGAAATACGACTCACTGCAGAAACTTCTTGGCAAAAGAAATCAGTAAGGATGTTCCGTAAATGCCCCTCAACGATGACTCCTCAGGAAGAATTTAAAGATGCATGGAGAGTAACCTCAATAGGTATATCTCCAATGGACTTTGAATTCAGGAGGAATTCACTGTGTTTTGGTTGAGATGTTTCCAGAACAGAATGAGAAAGGGAAACATTTGTCCTAATAATTTCTCAGTCAAAAATGAAGGATGAGAAAATGAGGTACTGAAACAGTAGGAGGTAGGGATTGGAGATCAGAGTATTCCAATCATGGTCACTTTGTTTTTTGCAGTTCACTGGGTGTACAATCCATAAAAAGGAAAACTTCAGTGCTCACTGACCCCACCCACCATGGAATCCTAGAAGGGGATGCACTACATTGCGAAAGCCGAGCATTGTAGAGATGCTAGGGTTTCATGGACACTATACCCAAACACCAATATCAGAAACAATGTCCACAACACCCTTTGAGAATGTCCAACACTGGTACTTGGTGGAATCTAGCCCAACTAGACCAGCCGATTGATCCTGGGTGAGCCACCCCAAGGAGGCCCGTCTACAGGAATTCAGGGCCAAAGTGGTGTGATAAAGTGCCACTGATATAAACTAACTCAGAATAAGCAATGTAGATCAATTTTGATACCCATCTCAACAAACTAGGGGAGACGTCCCATGATACTAAAGGATCCCAATGAATAAAAAGTCATTGTCTAGCACCTCTAAAGGCATTAGTGTAAGCAACATAACACTTCAAGACCCTCACTGGACATAACAAATGATCAAGATCCGATCTGTCATAGAAGTGAGAAATGGTGGTCAGATGAGACGGTGAAATGGATTTATCCTTTGCTGCCAGTATTTTAGGGATGAAAAACCTGTCTGAGGACATAAGCAGAATTATAAAGCATCCTGAGCACAATCAGTGCAAACAACTTCGAACGACAATGTCTGTTGGCCTAGAGCAACGAAAATTAAACCTTCAGGAAAAGGTGATATATGGTACATGAGGCTGAAGTCAGAAACAGATTTTGAGAAATGGCATGTAATACCATCTTAATATACCAGTTAGATAACAAATGATCATTTTGACAAAGGACCAAAACACTGTGAGGAGGCCGAAGAGTACTGGGGACTCAAATAATTTTAATCTTGAGTATCTAAAGGTAGATGATAAGGTCGCCTTATATAAGGCAATTGTGAAAGAGCCTTGTCAAAGAGCCAGGTCAAAAAATGAGTTATGGTTGGCACTTCTGGTCGATGTGGATTCAACCTTCTCTCAATACACCATCACCAATATGTGTGCCATTTCCATTGATGAATATCCCTTGTGAGACTAAGACTGAGACAGATGCATGGCAACCTCAGAAATTAAACCCCAATGCTGTGCAAAGGACCACATAACCTCCAAGCCTGAAACTTGAGCTTCAGGATGGCTGGGTGTATGAAGTCAGATCGTGGCCGCCTCAAGAGAGATGGCCAGGGTTTAGCTGCCAATATGGTGCTATCAACAGGACCCAACAATGGGTTGGAATGAACCATAGCTAGTACCTTGGGTAACATACAAATCGGTTGAAGGCTTAGACAGAATGCATCTATTGCCAATGCCTGAGGGTGAGGTACTGAAGACCAAAATGTCAGTAGTTGGGTGTTCCAAAAGAGTGGCCAAAACACCAATCATAAGTGTTTTGAAATGAGAGCCAATTGAACAGAAAACCTCATGATTCAGCATCCACTCTTTTGGGAGAATCCATTTGGGTCAAGACAATTGATCTGCCACTGAATTCATCATCCCTGGAACATGGCAAGCTAGTAGTGTGATATGAGAGGAGTGGTCCCAAAAAGGAAGATCCAAGGTTCAAAAACAAGGAGCTCTGGACCAAGTTTCCCCTTGATGAGAAATGTAAGACACCACCATGGAATTGTTGAAGTGAAGCCTGACAACATTCCCCTTAATAAGCCCAGACCATGAGACATCACCCTTAGAACAAGAAGTTCTAAAACATTGTGTAGGGAAGTCTCGCCATCCTTACTTAGACCCTGAAATTCCTGACCGTTGAGATATGCACCCCATCCCTGAAGCGAGACATCTGTGAAGAGATGGATCTCTGTATGAGGTGGCAGCAGAGGAACACATGTTGAAGTATTGTTCCAATCTAACCAGCACTTGAGATCGAAAATAATGATCCTAAAGAAACTGGGGAATCCAGCAAATCGCTGTTCATGATCCATTGATCCATAAAGACCAGTGAAGGGATCTCTTGTGCACTCATCCCAAAGGAATGAGGGATTTGAGTGGTGCTCAAATCCCCAAAAGAGAAAGAACCATCCACGAAGTGTGAGAAGGACAGGTGAGTAAGAGTTCGACTGCCTGTTCCATAGCTTGGAGCC